ATACAAAGACATGGCCAAACGTGTTGGTCCCCTTCCACATCCTTGAAACAATGCTCCTCTCATCTTGAAATGTGTTTGAGTTTAATGAAAGAGTATTCCGTCTTTTGTGTTGGTTTGGTTTTCTACAGAATAAAAGAAGCAGGAAATAGTGGACTTATTGCTTCTTATTAAAAGATCAAGAACATACAATTATCAGTGTCCTTTAGAAGTAGACTGTTTCATATTTCAAACAGACTAGAGAGTGGAGGAGACAGTTAGTAATACGGGGGTCTTCAATTATTTAATCATTTATATAGCTGTTTAAAGAGACATGCTGTCCAGTATAATTGTGTGAACTATGCTGAACATGGACAAGTACAATAAAAGACAAGAGCTGGTCAGGATATGCAAAAGAAATGAACTGCTCAACACATTTATGGTTACGTAAGACTTTTAAACGTCAGAACTGTAAAGAGCAGCACTCCAGGACTGGCTGCCTCGGAAGCTGCTGGTTATTCTGTATCTCTACATCAGTCAATCATGCTCTCATTTTCTCCCCAACTTAAGGACAAGGTTTCCAGCTGAGCATTGTATTTTAACCATTTTCAGTGACTGATGTGTCAGTGGGACATAGATGGCGGATGGAAGAATGCATACAGTATCAGAGACTAGTTCAGTTTGAAGACACTGAGGATTAGACCAAGCAAAGACAGTTGCTAACCTCAGGAACCCCTGCCTCTATCCCCCACAGATGATTGGGGGAGCATGGCAGACAACGGGTGTGGATCATCAGTCTGAGGTGGAACGCTGGAAACGCCTGGCTCAGGACAAAAGCAAAGAGCTGGAAGTTTTCCGATTGGAGCTGGACTCCATCCTGGACATCCTGAGACATCTTCAAAGACAGGGCGTGGTCCTCCCCGTCACAGCCCCTTTCTCTCAGAGGACTTAATGAGTGCTCAAGGTTTAAAAGCTGAACACACTGAAAATTGTGCTCTGATGAGTATTGAAACTAGTTCATTCGATTTGATTCTCATGGACAACCAGCAACATTAGCCAACATGCCCAAACTTGATTTCATTAATATATCATGTACATGCACAAACAGAGACAGGAAGATTTGAAGCTGTTCTTGGGCTGTACAATTTCTAGTACTTACTTTTATTTAAATGATTTTAATTTATGAGAAATGCTGAAAATAAATGTTTTTGTCCAAGTCGTAACTGAGCCACAGTATATTCAATACACTGTACGTATCTCACTGCACTGAATTGTACTAAACTAACACGACTGTATTATCTGTACTGCACCAAACACCTACTGGGATATTTACTCTTGATGCACAGCTTTCTTCTTGGCTGCTAAATAGTTAAATTGTATTTAATAAAGTAACAGGCTAACATTGACCCTGCATATTTTTACAAAATCTATACAACTGAAACAAATATAAAAAGTTGTCAAAAACTTTGCTTTAAATGAATGGGGCCAGACAACTGCCAAAATCCAGCCATCTGTAGAACCCTCTGGCATGTTTTACAGTAGAAGCTTGATTTGTTGAAGTGTTGTTTTTATTTTTATTTTCATCAGGATCGTTATCAGGCTTCTGCAGAGCTGGATGATGAGCTGATCATTTCAATCAGGTGTGTTAGAAAAGGGAAACATCTAAAACATGCAGGACTGTGGCCCTCGAGGACCGGGATTGGACACCCCTGCCCTAACATTTGATGTTATAATATTGCTAACTGGTGTTTATAAATGATGTAGCAAATGTAAGTACACAGAGGGGCATCCACAAACACTGACTGATATTTGCAACAGCATTCATAAACGGCAACTGGCAATATTAAAAGCATCGAATGGCCAGAAAAAATGAGACAAATATTTTACTCACCAGCTTTCCACCAGTTGAACGTGGGAGAAACAAACTGACTTCTTGCACTGCGGTCCTGGACAGAAGTTTAAAATAAACTAGAGGGAACTTCAATGACAAATCCGTTGTTTGAACAGACGTATACGGTGATGTGGTGTTATGGTGGTTCTCTGGCCCATGGAAATGAAAACCGGTTCTTAGAAGGTTCACAAGTTAAACCAACTTTGATCCAGTTCATCCATCTGGCACTGGCCAAGAACTAGCTCCTGGTTTGTGTTTGTGAAAACATGTGATTTCTCTGGAATAAAAGGAGGAACTGAGCCACAGCTTGAGCCACTTCAGAAACTCAAACAGTGACTTTTTGGCCAGGAACACAATTTATATCTTGTTGACGAAGAAAATGAAATGAATTAAGCTGTGGCACAAACTGGCCCTTTCAAAGTACAGAAGGAAAGCAGATGGGCCTGTCACCTTGAGCTGCAAGCACCGGTGTCACACTAAAAGATGTTGTGACTAACAGCACAGCAGCATCAGACTCACAATGATGATGGCAGGCAGATGTTTTGATTAGCCAGACTCTCCTCACAAGGTGTTCATGTGCACTTTTAAAGCTTGTATATGCTGCAGTCATTCTGAGGAGACATTGTTAAAGTGCTCTAAACAATATGTTTAAAAGACCTGACCTTAAATGGTGATCGTAACGGTGATGAAGTTGTTGTTGAGCAGAATAAGTAAATCTGGCCTGGAAGGAGAATGCATGTCTGATATATATTTCCCATTAATGTGACTATTGTAGCTCTTTGAGTTTCAAGCCTGACTTTGTACTTTGAACCTCAGTTGTAGTTGTGGACTGAACACCTCAGAAACTCACTATCTCCCCAGATAGTTA